ATCATACCCCAGAACCACTCACGAACCGCACAGCGAACATATGCTTTCTTCTATTAATCGATTTGTTCATGATATCGTTACAGAGAGGCATTATAAGAATAAATCCATTGGCCGGCTCGATTTTGAACTGGGCTCTCGTCACCTTAAGCGAGAACATACCTCTAGACCTACCGGAAATGCACAGCACTTAACATATCTTCTTCTATTAATCGATTTGTTTACAATGATATCAAGCTGCGAGGCGTATAAAATCAAATCACATTGGGTCTGCCCGGTAATGACTGACCTCTCGCATCAAAGACGAATATACCCCTAGAACGCCGAACCCACTTTAAAGCACAAACATCAGTTTCTTCTATTAATCAATTTGTTTGGCAATGATATCGTACTAGAGAGACCATTAAAAAATAAATCCAGTGGGTTCGGCAGTTTGAACTCCGGACCTCTCGCACCTAAGCGAGAAGCATACCCCAGACCACCAAACCGCAATTCATCAATTTGTTTTGCAATGATATCGCACTAGAGAGGAGCATTAAAAATAAAACCCTATGGGTTCAGCCGGATTTGACCTAGATCTCTCGCACCCGAACGAGAATCATACCCTAGACCTCCGAACGACACGAACAATAGCATCTTCATTAATCAAATTTGTTTACAATGATAGTCACTAGAGAGAGCATTAAAAAAATCTAAATCTGTGTTCGGCCGGGATTTGAACCAACGAAACCTCTCCACCCTAAGAAGGCGAGAAACATAATGCTCCCTAGACCACCGAACCCTGCACATTAATCGATTTGTTTACATGATATCGTACTAGATAGAGCAAAAATAAATCCTGATTCTAGCTGATTTGAACCGACTCTCTGTTTACCTAAGCGAGAATCATACCCTAGACCCGAACCACACAAGCACAACCAATGCTTCTTCTATTAATCGATTTTTTACAATGATATCGTACTAGAGAGAGCATTAAAAATAAATCCATTGTGTTCGGCCGGGATTTAACCCGGACCTCTCACCCTAAACGAGAAACAGCCTCTAGACCACCAAGACAACATGCCATTAATCGATTGTTTACAATGATATCGTAAGAGAGTAATAAAATAGATCTTGAGGTTCGGCCGGGATTTGAGACAGCACCTCACCCAAGCGAGAATCATCCTCCCATGACCACCGAACCGCACGAACAGCAGCTTCTTCTATTAATCAATTTGTTTACAATGATATCGTACTAGAGAGCATTAAAATAAATCCCTGTGTTCGGCCGGGTGAACCCGACCTCTCCCACCCAAAGCGAGAACATAATTCTAGACCACAACCCACGAACAGCGCTTCTTCTATTAATCGATTTGTTACAATGATATCATACTAGAGCATTAAAAAATAAATCCCATTGGGTTCGCCGGGATTTGAACCCGGGACCTCTCGCACCTGACGAGTCATACCCCTAGACCACCGAACTCACGAAGCACAGCTTCTTCATTAATCAATTTGTTTTTACAATGATATCGTACTAGAGAGAGCATTAAAAAATAAATCCCATTGGTTCGCCGGTATTTGAACCTTGGGTCCTCTCACTAAGCGAGAATCATACCCCTAGACCACCGAACCGCTCAGCAAAACATATGCTTCTTCTATCAATCATTTGTTTACAATGATATCGTACTAGAGAGTAGATAAAGAAAATAAATCATGTTCGGCTATTTGAACTTGGGTCCTCTCAAACTAAGCGAGAAACTATACCCTGACACCGAACCGCACGAACACATCAGCTTCTTCTATTAATCGATTTGTTTACAACGATATCGTACTAGAGACCATTAAAAATAAATCAATTGCCTGGCTTCGGGATTTAACCCGGGACCATATTTGCACCTAAGCGAGAAACATAATAACCACCGAACCGACAATTAATCAATTTGTTTGCAATGATATCGCACTAGAGAGGGCATTAAAAATAAATCCCATTGGGTTCAGCCTATAGGATTTAACCCGGGACCTCACCCGAAGCGAGAATCATACCCCTAGACTTCGAACCGCACGAACAATAGCATCTTCTTTATTAATCAATTTGTTTACAATGATATCGTTTTAGAGAGACCATTAAAAATAAATCCATTGGGTTCCAGGATTAGAACCGGACCTCTCACCCAAGGAGAATCATACCTAGACCACAGACCGCACGTACAGCAGCTTCTTCAAAATCGATTTGTTTACAAGATATCCAGAAGGTACAAAAATAAACCATTGGGTTCAAGATTGAACGACTCTCCGCACCCTAAGCGAGAAATCAACACTAGACCACCGAACCGCACAATGAGACATAGCTTCTTCTATTAATCGATTTCTTTACAATGATATCATACTAGAGAGCATTAAAATAAATCCCATTGTTTGTTCGCGGATTTGAACCGAAACCTCTCCACCCAAGCGAGAATCATATCCTAGACTCACCAGAACCACTGACACAGCTTTTCTATAATCGATTTCTTTACAATGATATCGACTAGAGAGAACATAAAAATAAATCCATTGTGTTGGCTGGATTTGAACCTCGGACCTCTCCACCTAAGCGAGAAATACATGCCTGAACCACCGAACCCGCCGCTTCTTCTATTAATGATTCTGCAGTGATATCGTATGCTAGAGCATTAAAATAAATCCCCTTGGGTTCGCCGGGATTTGAACCCGGACCTCTCGCACCCTAAGCGAGAATCATCCTGACCACCGAACCGCGCCGCGTTACTTCTAAATCGTTGTTTACAATGATATCGATACTAGATAGAGCATTAAAATAAATCCATTGTTCGGCGATTTGAACCTGAGAACCTCTACCCTGAAGCGAGAACATACTCTAGACTACCGAACCACTTAATCGATTTGTTTACAATGATATCGTACTAGAGAGCATAAAAAATAAATCCCAGGTTCGGCCGGGATTTGAACCCAGACCTCTCGCACCTAAGCTGAGAATCATACCTAGACCAACGAACCACTACGAACACTTGCTTCTTTATTAATCGTTTTTTTACAATGATATCGTACTAGAGAGAGCATTAAAAATAATCCCATTGGTTCGCCGGGATTTGAACTCGACCTCTCGCACCCTAAGCGAGAATCATACCCCTAGACCACCAACCGCACAAGCATAAACATATGCTTCTTCTATTAATCAATTTGTTTACAATGATATCGTACCAGAGACAGCAATAAGAAAATAAATCCCATTGGGTTCGGGTATTTGAACATGGACCTCTCACAAACTAGGCGAAAATATCCATAGACCAGCTGACACAGCGCTTCTTATATAATCGATTTGTTGGTACAAGATATCATACTAGAGTAGAAGCCATTAAAAAAAATAAACCTCTTGCCGGCCGGGATTGAACCACGGACCTCTCGAACCTTTTAAGCGAGAATCATACTCCCTTAGACCAACCGAACCGCACGAACCGCCTCTTCTATTAATCGATTTGTCTTTACAATGATATCTACTATGAGAGCATTATAAATAAATCCCATTGGTTCATACCGGTGATTTGAACCTGGACCTTCTCGCACCCATAGCAGAGATCACCCCTAGACCACCGAACCGCACAAGAACATGCTTCTTCTATTAATCGATTTGTTTCATTGTTATATCACTACGTATATAGAGGCATTAAAAATAAATCAAATTTAAGTTCTTCCGGGTTTGGGTGGGTTTTCTCACTTTCAGCAGTCACTTCAGGCCGCAGACACTTTCAAGCATAACATAGCCAAAAGCGCATGCAGAATCATTTGTTTGTGTCATTTTGAGGGCAACATGAAAATCATTTGGGGTTTAAAACGACCATTTGTTTTAGACCTCACAAACTGGCGAGAATGTACCTCACAGACCTGGAACACTTTAGAACCCACTTGCTTGTTGTTTGCTGATCATCAATGCCAGAGAGAGCATTCAAAATAGTCAATTTGGGGTTCGGTCGAGGTTGAACTGGGACTCCTACTAAAGCAGAATCTTGCCCTAGACCATGCAAGCAAGCAACCTTCTTCCTTAAATAAATTTTAATTTGTGATATGTACCAGGACGGCAATGAAATAAAATCCCGTGGTTCAGTGACAGTGACTTGGACCTCTCTGACTAAGCAGAAACATACCTCTAGATGCACTTGGGTTCGGCCGGGATTTGAACCCGGGACCTCTCGCACCCTAAGCGAGAAACATAACCCTAGACCACCGAACCGCAATTAATCAATTTGTTTGCAATGATATCGCACTAGAGAGGGCATTAAAAATAAATCCCATTGGGTTCAGCCGGGATTTGAACCCGGGACCTCTCGCACCCGAAGCGAGAATCATACCCCTAGACCTCCGAACCGCACGAACAATAGCATCTTCTATTAATCAATTTGTTTACAATGATATCGTTTTAGAGAGACCATTAAAA